AGGAATGGCAAACAGGTCCCTTGGTGCCCAGCAGCACAGCCCCACCAGCCCCACTGCACCACGCAGAGCGCCCCAACCACACACCCATCCCGCGGGTGACGAGGAGCGCGAGACCCACGGGGACACATGGGAGAACAACTGACCATAAACTACAAGAGTCACAAACGGTGTAACAACAGTTTTTTAAAACCACCTCTGGAAGCTGATCCTTTTGAATTCCACACAGCCACATGTTTACAATTTAGAGCAAAATTAGGAATATGTTTTTCATTTACAGCTTACATGACACATTTATATTAGTGCTGGAGACCATTTGCCAAGAGAAATTACAGGCAAGGTTTCAGCAGTTTGTCTTACGAAAAGCTGGCATTTGTCTGTCAAGCTGCCTTTAATTTTGCTTCTGTTTTCAGGACTTTTTGATAAAGTTTATGATCTGACTCTGTAAGGACTGCAAAACTCCAGTTAAAAGACATTCCTAATAAACATTCCCCACAAGACATGAGGAACGTCCATATCATTGTCAGGAGAAGGTCCAAAAACCATTCAGTGGCAAGGTAAAATAACTCCTGGAGTGTCAGGAACCTTCCAGTTCCACTAACCAGAAATAATGTAAATTAAGACTGAAATATACAAAACACCTACCAATATTTTCTGAAGAAACTTCATTGGTTTTACCTGCCTTTTGATAAACTAAGAGAAGAGGGCATTTATTTTCTACATAGAGAACAGAATGATTGCAGAGTTTATGAAAATTGATTCATTTTAAACCTTTCAGACTTCTGAACAACATTGATTATCATGGCCATAGATTTCTACAGTGTTGGCACTCCTCCAGGACACAGTTGGTCAGACACTCAATAGGAATAGAAGATGTGTAAGCTTTCTACAGGGTCAGGGTTTCTGAGCACATCTTGCCCAGCCTACTACTTCTTTATACATTATTTTCCGCTAACACATGGACCAGAGGAATTAAATTTGTGTTGCAAGAGAAAGCAGGAGACAATTATTCTCCATCCTAGTGGCAGTGTCACCATGAAAGGCAGAGCAGTCCTGACATGCTGAATATAAGCTTGAAATCCTTATTTGTGCTTGTCACCCTTCAGAGCACTTTCCCATCAACACGAACTTGAGGATTTCAGGCTATCAATGTGTCCACTCTCACAAAAAAAGCCATGATCAGGGAGGGCTCTTCTTGAATGAGGAGCCAGGGCATGCTCCGGTGACCAAATTCTCCAGGGAGCTTTCTGAAGGCCAAGAGTCTCCTCAGAAAGGCACCTGGTGTCCACACCACACCTCAGAAGTGACCAGAATTCAGATTCAGGCTCAAGAGATGCTCTCTAATCATCTCCGTGACAAGAGACACTAGAGCTCTAATATGAAGGATGATGCTACATCTAGGAAGGGCTCGGATCATCTTTCATGCTCATTGTGGCTACCACAAAGTGAAAGTAGGGTGGTCACCCTATACCAGAGCCTACCCGCACACCAGACAAGCACAGATACTGTGGTTTTTCTGATAAAACACCTTGCAGCATGCTCCTTCCCAAAGCAACCCCATGATCACAGCTTGCTTTGGGTCATTATGCCATTAGGTCTTTCCTGCCTCATGTGTAGATGAGCATGCCCTGGCCCAAGTCCCTTCAGAAAGATGCACATGTTCTTCAGGAGCAAAAGGCCCTCAATCAAAACTGGTTGAGATCCAAATTGAGCAAGAAGAAAGCATGCAGATTTCAATGTTGAATTAAACTGCCACACTATAAAGCCAGCTAGAAATATTTTTTTTCCTTCCTCTCACTTGCATCCCCAACTGGCAGAACATCCCATCCTGGGCTTCAGTCTTCCTCATATCCAGAATGTCAGAGTAAGCTCATAAGCATTTTTATTTCCCTGCCCACCTCTTGTATCTTCCCAGCTTGTTTCATTGAAGAGATCAGCCTCTGGTCACAGGCCACTGTTGTGAGAGGTGGCAGAGGAAAGGAGTAGGAAAGTTGCTTCAGCTAACACCCAGATTCTATAGTAGCATCTCTAGTAGCATCTCTTTTGGTGAAGTGAAGAGATAAAACAGATGGTAACAGGTAATGGCAGAAGAGTGACAAGCAGGAGACCAGCCTCAAACTGTCAGTGTTCAAAAAGTTATCACAAAATGTTGCAAGAAAACCAAGAAAGTTGTGTAGTATCTACGACAATGGCAGTGGACAGTTATTTCTGACAGGAAAAGAAGAGAAAGATGTGTGTGACTCTTCAGAGAACGGAGTAAGAACAGATATGGAAAATATATAGACTCAACAGAATATGAAATACAAATGGGTACATAATAGGAGATGTATAACAGAGAAAGGTAAATGCAGTGGAAGAGACAGAGAAACTGGTTGTCAGGTAAAAAGACAGATTTGAAGTAGAGAGAGAAAACAATGCCCACAAAGAAAGCAGCAAACAAAGAAAATTACTTTGCAGGCAAACATTAGGGAGCAGGTGAATATTTTGGTTTACATTTTTTTAAAGCATTCTGTTTGGTACTGTAATTTTAATGTTGATTTTTTTTTTTCTCCATAAGCTGGGAAACCATATGGAAGAATATTTTCTCTGACTGTCCACCACTGACACTGTAACTAGAGTTGAAGCTCGGATATACTCATACGTACAAGTCATACACATTAAACAACAGGCAACTGACAGAGGCAGGGTCTCTCCTTTCTGACAACCTATGTATTTAAATTATTTTTCCCCTCTCTCTGTCCCCCACACTTCCTTTAACATTCCTCAAATGCATTTTATGTATAAAAGCTCATTTTACCATAGAGACCTCCTTCAATGTGCTTCTGATATTAGCAAAGGTTCAGTTATAAATAGGAAGCTGACATTTTTTCCAGAGGAAAATGAAAATCTCGAACCTTGCTCCTTTCAAGCATTCAACTGCTTTTCAATTACAAGGCTACTGTGGCTCAAAAAATAACAATGCTATGCTCTCAGGACCTTCAGAAAATACCTACAGAATATAATATGGAGAGTAAGAATACCAAGAGAAGAAAAGTTTATACAGCTTTCTGAACAGAACGTATCTGTTCACAGGAATAATAATTAAGAATACATCTTAAACTTTGCTCTGATACACTTGGCTCTCTTTTTATTTGATGATCTGCAAATGCTGTTTCAGAAGCAGTATAAATATTGATGTAAATATCATTACAGAAGCCAAATATCTTATTTCCCTTGCAGTCTTTCTTGTTTTCATTTTGTATAACTTGTGATAGAATTTTTTCCACTTCATAAAAAGCATAGCTCCTTATAAAAGTTCCTATTACGTTGTATTCTGACGTTCTTAAGAACAACACATTTTGACAGTGTTACTCATACAAAAACTGGTCTAAGGTCATTGAACACAACAAAAGAATCACAAAAATAGAATCCAGCTCTAATAAAATTTTGAATGTATGTGCTTGTGTGCATATGGACACATGCATAAACAAAAAAAAAATTGACCTACATAGAATTGTTTCCAATTATAAAATTACCTCCTTAACTTGTCTTCATATACAATTGGTAAATGGGTTTCCTTTTATTAAGATGACCTGAAATTCATACTGCAAGGTAAATCTTCACCTTTCAAAACCAACTGTGACCACACTGTTAATCTGCCATCCAAAATAAAAACAGGTTTCTGCAACCTACTCTCAGTAAGATATAAATACATATAAAACCTGCTATTTCCAACAAATACTTTCATGTTGTGGATGCAATGCTTTTCAGCAGGAAATTTTTCCTCTAAAATTCTTTTTTAATTCTTTTGTTATAAAATCATACTTCTAAACCAGCCTCTTTCCATCTCTTTCCAGAAGCTCATCTCTGCAGTCTGTAGCCAGGAAGGATTCACATGATTTTTAGCTCATGTCAGTGCACATAAAGAAACTGCCATTGTTTAAAATTTGTTTACAAGTGAAAGAAAATGAAATCTGTGTGGCTCCCTTTGCAACCTGAACAGTTAATCTTTACAGCAGAAAAACTTGTAGCAACTGAGCACAAACTCTTACATGGAACCATGCAACATCATGTTCAATTATCAAGCACTGAATTACTTAACAAAGCATTTACATTTACTATATTATTTATCCTCTTTTTACTTCAGAGCAGAAAAGCAAAGCAACTCCTATTTTAAAACAGCTGTGCTAAATGGCTACTTCAAAACCTCATTACTGAAAGCCACATAACAGATTTCACTTTAAATTTACTACTGTTCAATCTCTCCTTGAAGACTGAAGTTCACAGTGTGCTACTGCCTTATAATGCTTCTCTGTTCCCAAAAGACTGTAAACACATCTGAAGAAACTTCATTCACAACTATCTATCTCATTCTTTTTTGAGGATTATCTGTAGTATCTCCAGTACTTTACAACTGGTTTTTAGAATGCTAATTACTAGTTTTCAGCAACTCCATCTTTTAATACGCAGGGAGGCTCTGCATGACTGTAGTAATTTGCCATTATGGTAAACTGAAAGATGGCAAATCAAATTATAACTCCAAAACATTAGTTACACTGCAGTAGCTAATAAGTAGTAACAATGGGAATACCGACACTTGCAGTGGTACTTGAGGAGATAGCAAAAGAACTTTAAATATACCACTACAGATTAGCTCAATACCTAGAAATAGCATTTGTGCTATAATACAGCCTCTAAAACCTCCATTGAAAAATGACATTTCACTGGCACCAGGTCTTGAACAAATGTAGAGTAAGATACAGTCATTACTTACTGGTTTAGCGTCACATCTAGAATGAAAGATGATCCAAAAGCATCAACCTGGAAGCTGGCTCGAGCAATGTGGGTAGACTGCAATATTGAAAAGACTGGAATCAGTACTTGGCCACAACAAAATGTATCAGACAGGTTTGTGAATGCAGAAAGTAAATATATTTACCAAGTAACGACATGCCATTAACCAAATACAATTGCATTGAAATGGACAAAGCCATGTATGATAATAAGTAAAAGATCTGTTTCCTGAATCTGCCAGGCTTACTCACAAATTCCCAGTAACACCACCTGTGAGTGAGAGAGGCTCTGCCTTCCACCTTAACCCATCCACACCATAGGGAACAGCTCTTATCTCTGAACTTTCATCCTGGAAAAACCTTGAGCAAAGAAAAATGGAAGACTTCCCCATGGCTAATGGGATACTTATTCCTTAGCCTGACTCTGGATACAGACCAGTGGAGAAGAGCTGGGATGTTACTGGTTTGGTCAGACCAGCATACACTCACAAATCTCACCAACATTACCTGACAGAAACTGTACATTCAGACAGAGTCTCATTTAAGACCATATAGTGAGGTGATAGCAATGCACTAAAATCTGATTAGATGCATTTTCTGTAAAGCTCTGACTCACTACCCTGTAACCCATCCTCTTCAAGAGGCTCCCAAAACTCCAACCCCCTGAGCAGTCCCTAAAACCAAAGAAAAATGGGTGCTAGAGAAACATCTCTTCCGTTCCTTTCTTTTCCTCTTTGCCACATATTTTCCCTCAACTAATTGCTTTCATTCAGTCCTACACAGAGCAAACATGGGAATACTTTGGAACTCATGATCTGCCAGAAATAGAACATTTAGGCTTGTAGTAGTGGAAGAAAATAACACAGCTATCCAATGAAAACACAACAGAGTTTTCTAGACCTGAAAACTCCCAAGAAACCAAACAGCCATGTTATTTAGCTAATTAATGAGAAAAGCTACTTCAGACATTTTGGAGCAGTTTCAACTTTGTTCTTATTTTCTTTCCATTGAAATCTGCACATTAAGATTTGAAGCATGTAGACAGAGGAATCTAAGAAGAAACACTGAAGAACCACTTACAACTCTAAACTACACTTCTCTAAATAAATACAATGCAGGACAGTACAACTGTAACAAATGATTTATTGGAAACTCTGGAAAACACAGGACAGCATGGGATAATGTGAATCATCAAATTCACTCTCTTTAAAACTACTGGCAGGCTTTCAATAGGCATTAAATCCAGAAGAGTGGAGAATACCAGTTTCCCTGGAAAAGAACAGCAACAAAGAAATGGGAAGTAGAGGGATTCATGACTTCTTTATTACATTTTTGAGTTGTCCTACAACACAATGGGAATTTTATGTCTACATTTATAAGCATGAGTATTCATTTAAAAAAAAACCAAACAAGCAAAACAAAAAAAAAAAACCACAACAACAAAAAACTATTATAAATACATATTTACAAACAGTTGATTCCTTTAAAAAAAAAAAAAGTCAGGACAGCTTCTCTTATTAGAGGATGCTCAGGATGAGTTTCTCTATAAAAATGCCTAGCTGTGCCACCACAGTGAATGTGCATGCTAAATTGCATGATGAGAAATTCCAGATATATAAATTACCATTTAGCAGGATGGAGTGTTGCCTGGAAAGCTTCTTAGAAGGCCCCTCAATAGATTCAATTCACTCAGATATCTTTTCAGCTATCCCCATTATACCCAACCTCTTTTTAACACAGGCCACAGGCCTTCACTAAGTAGTTCTTGTAATTTCTGGATGAAAATCCACAGCATATACAGCCACCTACACGTAGGACAACCATGCAGCTCTTTCTGGCCTGCAGCATATCCACAAATACAGGAAAAATAACCATAAACAAGTAATTATGTTAGCATTTGCATTTCCTTTCCAACTTTCAGGCAGCAGTTTACTTTGAATGATTGTTAAATACTATCTTCTCTTGCTAGTTGTGTATTTTTAGGCTGCTGCTCATAAAGAGGATGCGGGAAGCCAAAAACTGAGTAAGGTACTAGGGGCCAACACTAGCTTTGTCTTAAATTTTCATTTACCTGTCTGCACTGCAACCACCACCTTCTGATCAAAGGGGTAAAATGGCAGCCCAGCTGTTTGCTTTTCATCATTACATTATTAAATGAAAAGTATTTCCTATAATACTTTATTATTTCTGTTTGTTAACAACACAGCTACATATGCCATGGTCTAGCTCTGTGTACACAGTATAACCAAGTCTTCTATATGACCACATGCTGCTACCAAAAGAGAATTCATTAGTAAGAAGAAGACAAAGAGCCTAACTTCAATTTCAAAATGTACATATACTGAACACAGCCTTTATCTTTAAGTGTCTTCACCTCATTTGCTGTAAGTGCAAAAATGGTGAGGGTTTTTTGGTTTGGTTTTGCTTTTAATTGCTAGGTGTATCGCATCATATTGATTTGGTCTGGGAAATTTCCTCCCTTGAACATGTCTCTAAGATAAACAATTACAAGGCTAATGTATTTCTGAGGTGACACCGGACCACAGTTATTCCCTGACAGAAGTTGTTAATATAGATTTAAGGGAGAAAATGCCTATTAATAAATTAAGATAAAAAACATTACACAGATGTAACCACCCCCAAGACCAGTGGTGCAAACCCAGGAAGCTCACCCTTAAGTTTAAGCTCAAGTGCAATCAAGCATATCTCGAATCTCAAACCTACTCAGATATCAAGATGCATGTTTTGGACAGTCAGACAGACTGAGTCCTTTCCAGAAACTACAGCCTTTCCTTCAACCCTGATATGTGGTTGTAAAACACCACAACACTACAACCTGTGGGCTGCTGCCAAAAACAGACAGTTTTTCTCCATCCATGTGTTTCCTTCTGCTCTCTCTCATTTGCTGATGTGACTACCCAGAAAGTCAGACCAGCATCAGAATATTAACCATTACCTGTGGATACATTTTCTACCAGACAAACAAGCTCATCCAAATAAACTATTCAGTCATACCATGAGTAGATGTGATGGAAAGAAGCTGGAGGGGACATGCAAGAGAGAACAAAAAGACAGATTCCCCCTTACAATGACTGTCAACAGATCTCATTCAGAGTAACAAAAAACTGCACCTTAGGAGTGAGAGCCAGTATGTTTTTAGGATAACAATTATTCTGAAAATCTGGTTAAGAACCACAAAACAAAGAAAAGGATTTTTATAAGTCTTGACTTTGCATTTTTTAAGAACATCTACCTGCCTGCTCAGTTAATAGGTAAAATGGCCAGCTGCAAAGGAAGCCTGCAGTCCTACACGTGCCAATAAAAGCACCCAAAGAAACGAGGGAAGTATTTTTATTCTATCTATACCACCTGACTGAAGCAGAAGTAACAAGACACCTGCAAAGGCTCCTCTAACCCACCAAAGCAAGACAAACAATAATGTTATTCAGTTCTCAAACCAAAGAAGTTTCTGAGAAAATTCAAGGCTTTTCAACAACTCTAGGCATGACACGTCGATGGCTGACAACTGAGTCATAAAAGAGGAGTTCTTGGCGACCAGGAGAGATGCACTCAATGAGGAACATAAACAAGAGCCAGAATAGGAGAATCTACCAACTTAATGGAAGAGTACAGTGCTGTGACTCCAACACAATCAAAAAGTTCTGAAAATTTAATGTCATTCCAACTGAAGAAGGAAAATATCAATAACAACTCTGAAATTGGCTGCAGTACTTCCAGATACAATTTCTAGAGGCACTTAATGTGTACTACCTTGCAAGCTGCCCACAGAAAATACTAAGCATCCCACACATCTAATGAAACTATGCAAGAGATAACTTTTGACAAAGATTGCAAAGTTTAAGCATCTCAGCGAATGTCTGAAGGGAATAAAAAATAAATGGGGTGGAAAAGATTATTTCGAATCACTGAGCACAAAGACATTTTACCTAAAACAAATATTAAAAGCTTGAATCCTAGAAAAACAAGTGGTATGCAACCCTTGCTGCCAAACCAAGAGAGATGCGATACCAATTATTTTAAATCACCCGCTCCGTGCCTGGGGCACCACTGCAGTAACAGAGGAGACGGGCGATCAGTTCCAAGTATGACCACTTATTATTACAAAGAAACGCAACAAAAAATTATGATTTCTGATACAGAGCCTTCAGTATCCCTGCTGGGGATCAGCTTTCTCCAGAAACTGGCCCTGAAGAACAAGCATCTGCCAAGGGAACACACCTATGGAGGCTACAACCAATGCCTATCAATGCAGATCAATGCTGAGCCCCACTGCACTGTATTGTACATCACCTTAAATATGTTTGGAAGATTTTAATTTCAAATAGGTCAAATATTTTAATCACCAGTGAAACATTTACAAGCTATGCACTTTCTTTAATAATCAAACTAACATGAAATTTGACAATTAAGATTTTTTAAATTTTCCCCACATTGTATATAATTCGATGCTGAAAGCAGCACAGTAAGATGCTGGGTGGTATTTTTCTTCATTAAAATAAGGAAAAAAAAGAATAAAAAATACATTGTGGTATAATATGCAATTCATCATAATACGTGTTTCTTACTTATGAAGTATTCTTCATATAGCACTTAGATGCTTTTTAATAAGTTTTGCTGGAAGAGATAATTTCTACCAGAAGAGAAGAATGTCTTTAAAAAAAAAAAAAAAAAACCCTTGAGAAAATACTGTTTATATGCTTGTCCTTTGATGCGGAGAGTTTTAAATTTACTACTACATATAGCACTGTGGTTTCTAATTAAAAGATTCTGATCAAATGTGTATACTTGTAAGAAAATAATCAAGAGAATCAAGACAGAAAATAATAGTGTTGCAGGCAGAGAGACCTTTCAAGCTATGCTTCAGAACTCTTAAGAACAAGGTTTGATATGAGGTTTTATAGCAAACATTCTGGGAGTCAGTCACATTTACAAAATAATAGATTCCTTAGATACAAATTTAATTTCCCCCCTATATTTAATAGAACAGAAACCTCAGCTTGTTAACAATCCTTGTAAGTGTGTAAGAAATTACTGTTT